AGATAGAGTTGTTAGACTATAAATACATTTGGAATAATTATATTTAAATTGGATGAATGAGTTAGCCACAGTAGAAGATAGATCAATAATAATATTATCTTGTGGATTATTGGAGATGTTTTTGGCCTGTGGGTATTTTTAGCTTCTGAATTGGTGGAATTGGTTGAGTTATATATCTTGGTATGGTCTCACTTGATTCCAGTGAGAGGTGAAGTGTTGGCTGTAGAGCAACGTGGTTTTCAAATTAGATCATGCAATAAGGACAAAGATTTTGTTGCTGCCTTGATCCAGTTTGTAGAGTCTGTGGTCGAAAAGATTTTGTCTGTAACTCTACAAGACAACTCAACGACTTGTCATATATGTAAGATTGGTTTATGATTATCGTCTGGATGGAGTAATTTTATTTTGTTATATTATTAAAAATGAAATAATATATAATAGCTTATATAAATAACCAATCATCAATTAATTTTAATTATTTATATATAATAAATATTTTAAAATTTCTTAATATTAGATAATTGTAATTATTATTGATTCATTAATAAAGTCTATGCATATATCACAACTTAGTCCTTTTTTTAAAAAAAAAAATTCTTAATATTTAAAAATTAGATATATATATACAATACTTATGATTAGTACTGTATATGTAATATATAATTTTTATATTTTTTTTTCTATAATTAAATAAGTATTTATTATATTTATTTAATTATTGGAGTTGAAAATATACTAGTATAAGACTTTATATATAAACTAAGCTAATACTTGAATACTTGTTATTAATTGTTTATTTTTTAAAAATAAATAAGTTTTTCTTTCTTTTTTTTTTAAAAACATTAGCTGGGTCTTAGTTGTTTTCTCTTTTTTTTCATTTTTTAGAGAATTTAAGTTTAAATAAAAAACAATATTGTTGAAAAAATCTAATGAACTACAATATATAAGTAATTATTTTTGAAAGTGAACTGGAAATTTTCTAATGTAATCCTAAAATTTATATTATATGTGTATTGTTTAAAAGTTAAATCCAAAAAAATCATATTTAGCATTTTTGTTATCTTCAAAAATAATTATCCATATATATCTTAATTTCAACAAATAATATTAACAAATTTTCAACTGTTATTTCTTATCCAAAAAAGACAATAGTTATTAAATATTAACATAAAATAATAAAATTAATCAAGTTAAACAAAGTTATATTTTTAAATTTTTTATAAAATAATTTTTAATAGAGTAGTAGCAATTCAAAATTGACCAATTTTATTATTAAACTAGTATTTTGGCCATCTTATATATAATTACTTTTTTACTATCAATTGATCAATTTATATTTTTAAAACTTTAAACTTTATATAATAAGTTAATGTTATATAATTATACTATTAAAAAATTTTGTTTTTTTTTCTTTACATACTGTAAATATAACATTTTAAATACAATTCTTAAATAAAATCTAATTAATTAAATTTATAAAAAAGAATTTTTAAATTATCCAAATTTTATAAAATACTGTATACCATCTTGTGATCTGGGCACTTCAATTTATAACTAAACAAATTTTTTCAGCTTTCATATTTTACATCATTAGTTCTATACACTTGCTCCTTAAATAAAAACTATTACAATTAATTTCTTTCATATAAGCCTATAAATCAAATTATATATTCATTTATCCTAAACCTCAGAAATGTGACGTATCGTGGCAGCTACACGAAATCCATCGGGCTTCAAAGCGCTGTAAAAAGTTTTTTGATTTGAGGATGCTAACATAATTAATATGAAACAGAAAAAAGGACAATCCTTACTGCTCGTAGTACTTCTGAATCTCTCTTCCGACCATCATTAATACGTCACCATGGTTTAGTTTTAATACCAAATCTGGACCACTTCCACGGACCTTCAAGTTTAAATTCATGTGATCGACGGGTAAACCAGTGAATGGCGTTGGGAATATTTCCGAAACAGTTGATGAATTTAAATCTTCTACTTCCAATCCCAAGGTTGAAATAGTCGGCAATAAATTTTCATCCGAAGTATCAGAATTATTTTTAATAAAAGAGGTAGACAACGATGATGAACCAGGGTCAGTTGACATCGAAGAATCAATGTCGACATCCATTCTTAGAGAACACGACTTTTTCAGAGATGATGATGGGGAATTCATGGTGACAACCCTTTTTCGAGAACGCGGTTTCATTTGGGATAGGGGATTGGTAACTTGTTCGGAAGAAATATCACTAGAAAGAATTTCATCTGCGATAGGAGTGTCCGATATGAATGTATCATCATTCGATGCTTATTAATAGAAGAAGGGTTAATAAGGACAACACTCGTTAGATATTGAAGCCCAATAGATACATACCATCCATATCTTCATGACTTCTCAAAACGGATGATAGATCATCACTTCTTTCCCTTTCCATTTCTATTTCATTATCATTGTCAAAAGCAAGATTTTCCAATTCTGTCTTTATATCTGTTGAGTTCTGAGATTTTTTCGGTTCATGAATTTTCTTTTTTCTGCGGAACATTAATTTAGCTGAAGCTCCGAGAGACAAATTGCCAATAATTGGTGCGACACCTTTTTCGCCGTCATCTATAGTTAAATTAAGGAAGTCATTAACTATCTGGTGATATGTACAAAATTCCATTATGAAAACGTACCATGATAATTCATCTAAATTTATATCATTTCAAAAAAGTCATGTTAAAAATATTTGATCAAACAATCACGGATTTTCAATAGCAAAACTTACTCTTTGATCATTCAAATATGCGACTACCAACATTTCATTAAATTGTACGCCTGGAACAAGTCGGGTGCACATCTCAACAAGATAAAGATAGGTCTTATGAACAATTTCCGGACATTGTTCAAATTGTAAAGTTTCTACCGCCAATGAGAATTCATAATTCTTTCCAATGTTCATAGAAAATTGACGAGCAAGCAACTCTGATCCAACTACATTACAATAAGACGTTAATTTTACTCCAATATGAATAAATAATAAAATATTCAATTACCTATTTGATTTCCATTTTTTACTTTGTTTCTTTTAAGAGGAATATCTCCGGTTTGAAATCCTAGGAATAACTTGTCTGACATCGCATTTATAGATAAGTTTCCGAGTCTATGAATTACATGACCGCCTTCAGGAAAACTATATTGGAATACACTTGCGCCATCAGGCGTCACCTTGCGAGATACAGTGATTGGACTACCTTCCTTTAAGCATAATTCATAATCCGTTGCGGGTCCGATAAGTAACGGGAGATCAGACTCACCACGAAGCGCGTAAGGAAGAACAATTTGGTAAGGTGCCGAAAGCGTTGTCTTTTACAAAAATACACAATAAATGAATCAATTCAGAAGATGTAGCAAATCTATCTTTGAAATTGAATTTATTAATGCTAACCCCACAGTTAACACAAATCCACCCTTTCCAAAGAGATCGACATGAAACCCGTCCACAACGTAGACAATGATAACCTTTCCAATATTGTGCGCCATATGAATTTTCATAAAAATAACTCTTTTCATTCAAATTGGCTGGCGGTTGCGGTGGCAGTATAGAAAATGGAATTTGAATGATTTGATCCTTTTCTATAAGTCCTGGGTTTAAAAACGCTTTCACGTAATCCAAATTTTCTGGTACCTCTTCCCATTTGTATTCAGCAGTTAAAGACTATATTTTGTAAATGATTAATTAACTTCTTTTTTTTTTTTTCTTTGATTCAAAAATTTTATATACAAGAATATGAGTCAATACCTGCCAAAAATGATTACAGTTATGATTAAGACAAATCCAAACGTTGCTATAAATCATATCAGATGGAAGTTTGCAGTCTGGACAGACAAACGACTTTAATTTTCCCGGCAGGATTTTTGAATATAAAAGTCGTTCACATGAAGATTCCCACCAAGGCAGGAATTCTTGATCTGGAACCCACTCAAACCGAAATTTCCAGCGAACAAAACTCATTTTTCCGTCGCGATTCTTTCGTTTTTTACACCGTTCGGGAGTAGATTTTTCATCAAAGACTTTTTCCGCATCAGAAATACCTTCATCAACGTCGCAGGGAGCATACTCGTATTCAGGCTATTATTGAAACAATAGAGCGCGTGAGTTCAGAAAATTCGTAAAAAGCTAGGGGTTTGAAACTGCATACAAACCCAAACGTGAGTAATAACATATAGTCTAGGTGAATTAGATAAAATGTCAATTTGCTTGAACATGAAGGTACCATAAAAGAATGTTTTCACTGCTCACCCTAGGACACAGTAACGCGCAGGTATTTTGAATTCTGCGTGTTTTTTGTTTCCCACAATTAATGCCAGTGACTGTTTATTTATATAATTTTTTAATAAGGACCGAACGGATACATCTGTCAACATTTGCGACGCGACAAGACCGAAACTTCCATCCTTACGTTTGTAGCTTTTCCCTCCTCTATAAATAATATACAAGTTACGTTTATATTGTAAACGATACCTTTACAGGTCAAAAGGAGGGTTATATACTAACCCATGGGAAATTACTACGCGTCCGTTGCAAATGTCACGTAAGGCACCGTACCCATCTAACATGTATCCCCATACCACACCATTCTTGTTATATACTCCACCTTGCCACGCTTTAAAGTAAGGAACTGTTTCGCATAGTTCTTGACGAGTCTTTAAAAAAAAAATTGGGTAAGTTTTGTGAAAAATACAAGGTATTGTGCATAATTTCTCAATTTATTTATATATCGAATACCATAGCCCAAACTTTTGGTCTATAAAGATTGGCCAATGTGTCGTAACGAATATCGTCATTTTCGGTTAACTTGTAACTGGAAAAACGAATTTCTTCATTTATGACTTTCGACTCATTTACTTCCATATTTTCGTTTTGCTTAAAGTTAAAAAGAAGTATCTTAGATTCGAAAATTTTATCGGCCATTCATAGTACGCGAATTACGTCACAACTCTTAAATGCATTTTTAAAAAATGGTAATATACATATTCAAAGCTTTAGTTCAAAAATATATAAATTTTTTTATTAAAAAAAATTGTTAAATAAAAAATTCTTAAATACTACAATTATATTGACATTATATGTTTATTAAATTATATTGAAACAGTATAACTAAGAAATAATTATATAAACCTACTTATCAATTAACAATACAAGGTTTCTAAATTAGAGATGTTGCACAAACCTGGACAAATTGTTAAAAAGGTTGTATAATCTAAGTTTAAACTTACTTAACTTAATTAGAACCATTTACAGTCAAACCTGGATATAACGAACCTGTTTATAACGAAGCTATAATAAAATGCTGATTATAACGAATTTTTGAAT